GGGGAAGGTCGGACGTAATATAGAGAAAACTCATGATGACGCCATATGCAGAAAGCAGCACCTGGCAGTGCGACCAGAGGTGGTCAAAACTAAACTCAGGAAGAATCTAGAAGGAAATGATCCTACATATAGCTGTCTAGACTTCTGAGACCATGGGTCATCTCTTTCCCTTCTTGCTCCTTTTCTCTTTTCCCCCAATTTAAAAAATAATCAGCATTCCTTGTTTTCAAATAATGGGAAAAATAAGAATAAACTCTTTATGTGCTTTAAAGCTCTTTGGCTCACAGGCATTTCTGTCACCATTCACCTCCAAAGGCCAGGTGTCAACTCCCTCCCCCACAGTGCCTGGGGCTTCCCTGAGGTCCCTGCCAGCGGGGAGGGAGAGGGCTCACCAGGGGACCCCCTCTCCTTCACCAAGGACACTTCTCAATCATCTGGGGGCCTCTCTCCTTCACTGGGGACCCCTCCTTCACTCCGGGGTCCTCATTCCTCCCAGGAGAGCCCTTTCCCAGGGCAGGAGCCTCAGAATGAATCATTCTCCACCAGTCTTAAGCTGCCCTTTCGCAGGCCCCAGGTATGAGCCAAGGCTGTGACCCTCTCCCCCCACCCTCAAAGTCCCAGTTTCCAATCCCTGGCCATCCACAGTCACATTGCTCTGTGACACCGAAGGCCCGGACATTCCTCCGCTTTCCTTGCAGCCTCCACGCTCCAGGTCTAGCCGGCAGGACTGTGCCAAACCCCTAAAAAGCCCTTCCATTTCCCTTTAATAAAAAACTTAAGGTAGGGAAGCTTGGCGGAGTCATCCAGATACCAAGAAAAAGCAAACAAGCGAATGTTGCAATCTGGGCATGAGATCTGGCAGTCTGTCTGTCCAAGGCTGCCCCAGTAGCCTGGGGGCAGAGCCACCCCCTCCCTCACAGCGGGGGGACAAAGGCCAGGGCCGGGTGGGAGGGAGCGGGCAGGGGTGGAAGGCTGGATTTGGCCCCAGAGTCACCCAGAGAGGGGGTCCTGTCCGGTGTGCTGCGCGCTGGCACTGCCGGCGGGGCAGAGAAGCTCTCCAGGCTCGGTGCTCCCGACCGAGCGTACCACGGGGCTCCAGCCGGGTTGGACCCTCCCCAACCCTCCCAGCCCGCCATGCCCCTCACCCTGGCCAGCGCCTCCTGCTGCTGGGGGCTCAGGTCCCCAACTCGGCCGCTCATGGTGCCCGCAGGCGCAAGGGGCGCGGGTGCAAGTGTGCGGGACGCGTCTGCCCGCCGCCACCGCCGCCGCCGCCTGCTTTTGCAGGGCAGGACCAGATGTTGGTCCCGCCCGGACTGCAGAGCAGCTGGTACTGCCCAGCCCCGCCCTGCCGGGCTCTCGCCTCCTCTCGGAGGTTTTTTGCCAGGGTCGGTCGCCAAGTGCACCCTACCTGGAGCAGGGAGGTGACTCGCCCCGGAGAGGGCTTCCAGAGCACAGACTCAGTCTGGGACAGCAGGCGGCCCCCACCTGTGGGCTTCCTCACTGCAAGGGCAACAACTGGTCCCGGTGGCGGGGCTGGGGAGAGGGGCATAAGGGACACGTGGGCACGTTTCAGGAACACACCAGGATTCCCTCCTGAGCAAAAGGGAGGAACTTTTTATGAACCTGGCTCAACCCTCTAGGACGGCCCCAGGCCTTTTGCCTAAGGGACCTCGTAGTTCCCACCGCTGACCTTGAACACAGGCTGGGCCCTGTCAACGTTCATGGGAGAGCCCTTCTGTGCAGAATGGTTCCAGCCCTCGAGATGGCTGGAAGGATTAGAGAAGATGGTGCACCCTGGCTCAGCAGAACACCTGGCACTGTTGCTCAGTAAGTGTTGGCTGTTAGGAGGATAGTTTCACAATTTTATTATTTTTGAGGCTGTCACCAGAGCTGGGAGCTGCAGGGGTGGACATCCTGGGATGGCCCAGGTGGTGAGCTCCTGAGTAGGCTCCACAGTGGGAAGACCACGTGGGAGGTGGCCATGGAGGATGGATGGAGGAGGATGTTACTTCAGGGGTGGAGTGTCAGAGGGTTTGGGAAGCCAAAGGGTGGCAGCCACTGACAAAAGAGAGCCAGGTGGAGGTCACACTGGAAAAGGTGAGAAAACTCAAGTGGCAGGATGTCAATTTCCAAGAGAGGAGCAGGTGGGCGGGGAAGGTGAAGGGGGCAGGAAACCAGGCCACTGGAACTTCTTCCCTCTGCCCTCCCGTGGGGTCAAACCAAGTTCCAGGTGGCAGATGACCCATCCGGTGGCCACAAGCCACATGGGACTGTTGAGCATTGAAAACGTGGCTTCTCACAAATGAGAAGGGGGATGGAAGATGTGCTGTAAGTGTAAAATATAAACCACATTTTGGGCCAGGCGTGGTGGCTCACGCCTGTAATCCTAGCACTCTGAGAGGCTGAGGCAGAAGGATCG